AATTCATAGTTTTGATGCCTTCAGTGTGAAGCTACAATATTCATAGTCATGAAAATAAAGAAAACTCTTTGAATGAGAAGGTGTGTCCAAACTTTTGGTCTGTACTGTATATATATATAAATATATACAAACTCTAGCCAAGATGAAGTGCAATAATCTGAGCACTATATCCATAGCAGGAAGATGTAAATGAGGTGAATCAGTATTTGCTGTATTGTTCATGATGATGTCAGCAGCCTCAGCCTAAATGGTCGTCTCCAACACTCCCTGTCTGTGGAGAAGTTCTCTGGTGCTGCTATCTCCTCTCTAGCTTCTGAATGCAGCAGGTACCAGAGCTGCTCACATTCCAGGCTGGTGCTGAAAGCAGAGGGAACGACGCATTGATCTGCTGGGAATGTCTGTTGGTTCCCACCGTGATCCCAGGACCAAATCTACCTTTCAACACTCCTCTCTTCTCCTCCATCAGCAGGCTCTGCTCCTCTGTTCACTTTGCTTCTCTCCACCTTTTGTTCTCCGGTTTGTTTTGGTCGTTTTACCAAATTAAACCTCGTTAGACAAGGTCACAGTAAAATGCTGAATTTAATACTAATACGAAATAGATGCAGTATGAAAACGACCAGCATGGTGAGTAAACATAATAATAAGCAAATTAGAATAATGATGAGCATTTAAATAAGGTTTAAACATTTTAATCTTGTGTGACAATTAATTGAATGCTGTTTGAGCATTTTATGTTTTATCATCATGATTCACACATTTCTGAATCCAGTGTAAATTCTATCATCAGTTAATTTCTCTCCATTAATTACTAGAAGCACATTTCAAAATCAGAATCAGAATCAGAATCAGCTTTATTGCCAAGTTCGTACATACAAACAAGGAATTTGACTCTGGTACACTTTGCTCTCTGTGTCTTTTTTTGTTTGTTTGTTTTTTTGTTTTTTGCGTTATAAGATATATTCTGCATATATCTTTATGTCCCTATATATATACCTTAACCTATTATCACCTTAACATCTATGAAGACAATCTTTAAATCTTTAACTATTAATTTGACAGAGCTTTTTCTCCTTTACCATCTCCATGTCTGCTAATAACTCGTAATCTGTTTGCTCTTGTTGACAGGTTAAAAAAATCCTCTCCTCGGTAAACTGAATTCTTATCTTCTGAGGCATGTGATAAATTTGCCACCTTTTTATTGAAAGAATGGAGAAAATAAGGCACACATTCAACTCCTCCCTCTTAGCTGCTGCAGGTCAGTTAACCCTGTTTCCATCTAATCAAAGTTTAACCTACTTTAACTATCCAGTTACTCAAACCGATCTGGATCAAACCATATATCTCTCAAAGTCCTCCTCTTGTTGCCTTGATCTCCTACCAACCAGTTTATTTAGGTCTCAGATGTTTTGGCTCCTGACCATCTACAAATAATTATTGAGATGTCCTCCTCTGGAGCGTTCCCACAGGCCCTGAAGACTGCTGTAGAAGAATAATTTGAATTCATCAGTTTTTAGTAATGACCAAACAATATCAAATTTGCCATTCTTGGCTGAAATATTAGAAAAAAATGTTTATCAAGAAATAAACAGATTTTTAACCTTGAACAACAGTTTTGATGTTGATCAATGAGGTTTTCATGAACATCACATAACTGTTTCATCGCGCAGTTTTGCTTGATCTCAGTGCAGCATTCGACACAGTTGATCATGACATGTTATTATCCAGCCAAAAAACAGGGTAGAAATTTCTGGCACAGTGCTCAGATGACCTAAATCCTGTCTTCACGAATCCTGTCAGAACCTTTTTGTGTCCACAGGAAACTACAGATCTAAGCTAATTAAAATAATTTACGGTGTTCCCCAAGGTTTTATCCTTGGTCCTCTCCTCTTCAATATTTACATTCTTCCACTAATTCAGATTCTGCATGACAATAAGATACAGTACCAAAATTATGCTGATGACACACCAGGGGACTACATACCCCTAGCGGGTTAGTCTAGGGGTATTATTCTTGCTTGGGGTGCAAGAGGTCCCAGGTTCAAATCCCAGATGAGGCCCCATTAAATGTGGTGGCCTAGTGGTTAGAACAGGAGGTTTGTGTTCTGGAGGGAACACAAGGGGCCAGGTTCGTACCCCACAGATTGCCACTCTGGGTCCCTTAGCCCCAGAATGCTCCCCAGGCGCTGCAAAATGGCAGCCCACTGCTCCCTATATAGGTTAAATGCAGAGGACAAATTTCATTGTAATGTACATATGCAATGACCAATAAAGATTATGATTATTATTACAGCCCAATACAATCACAGATAACAGTGGGATGTGTCAAAACTTCAGCTAAATAAAGATAAAACTGAAGTTTTAGTTTTTGGTCAGTCCCCACCTTCCGTCCGTTGGTTTAAAAAGGTCGTAGAAAGCCAGAAATCTTGGGGTGGTTATGGACCCTGTTCTGAATCTGGACAACCACATCAAACTTATCATAAAGACAGCATATTATCACCTTAAAATTATTGCCAGAATTAGACACATGCCCCAACAAGACTCTAAAAAATGTGTTTTCTGCAGACTCGATTATTGTAATGGTGCTACAACTTGTTCAAAATGCTGCTGCTAGAGTCCTTACAACAAAAAAAGAGCTCAGCATTCTGAGGTCCCACTGGCTGCCCATTGGTCAGAGAGTAGAGTTTAACATCTCACTAAAGCACAGACTAGTCAGAGCCCAAATTACACCTCTGATCTTCTTCATTGCCATAAACCATTAAGACCTTTAATCTGAATCCAACCCACTCTCCATTCCAACGTCACAACAAAGCATCCTGAAGCAGCCTTTGGTTTTTCTGCTCCAGAAATCTGGAATAAGCTCTCTGTACACTGCAGGACTGCTCCCACCCTGAGCTGCTTTAAAACAAAGTTAAAAACATTTTTAAATGGCAGGTGAGTCAGAACACTGCAAGAAAGGCTCCACCAATCACTGTTAGTCAACCTCAACCATCCTGGGGTCTGAAAGTCCTACCCCAAGGCAAGACCTTTTAACCAGGAAAGTGTGAACCCAGGAAATTGAAAATATATACAATCGTACATGTTGATTGTATGTTAAAGGTTATATTTAAGTCAGTTACAGAAAAAGGCTAAAAATCTGTTTGACTTAACTTCAGTTGTTGCCACTTGTTGTTTTTATTGTTTATCAAGAAAGGTTTTCTTGGTTCTTCTTACATTTTTATCTCGTTGAGCCGATTAGCAGTCCCTGGGCAGGGTACACCTAAGACAGGTCTCCTGTCTACCACCAGACAAACAACCAGTTCTGAATCTGTCCTGTTCACAATCTTAAATAATTTGGTAAAAACAACAAATCTTGAGCGTTAAAAACATCCTGGATCTGGTTTGTTTACTTGACTCTGTTTCCAGGTGGATGATTTCCTGAATTTATTTGGCATGTATTTGAAGATGCCGGTGTTTGGTGAACATTCATAATTACCTTTGGGATTATAAATGATGCATTATGACGTGTGAGCAAACAGAAAACAGAGCTGCTTTATCCTGTGATCAAATATTAATCTTCTGTTTGTTCTTCTTAGACTGATGGACTTCAATGTTTTTATGGTTTAAAGTTTAACAGTCATCAGGCTGCGTTCCATTTCTGAACCCAGCAGCCTTTCCAGGCATCATATTCTCCAACCTGCTGATTAAACCTGTCATTAACAGGCAGAAACTGATAAACCAGTCAGAAAAGTGAGGTAAACTCCACATGAGCTTCTTCCTGTGTGAGGAGAGGAGTCAGGCCGCAGCAGAGCAGGACTGAGCTCAGAAACGGGACGCAGCCGCAGCAGCAGGACAACGTAATGCAGGTGAGCAGCAGCAGGTGTGTGCGTGCGGACAGGACTGAGGAGGCGGGGCATGTGGGCTACCTGCAGCAGGTAGTTTCGGGTTTCCTGCAGCTCGGTTCTCCCTGCTGTTCAGTGAGGATGGTTCTCTGCTGCTGATCCGGACTTCTGCTGAGACCTCCTCAGATGTCCTCAGACGGACAGTTTTCCCAAACTGAGCTCATCAAGCAGCAGGTAAGTTTGTCAGCTTTAATGAGGTCACTTCCGCCTCCTTGTCACCTGTTCTGCTCACAATTTGGGCTTTTAAACGTATCTGTGACGCCAATCCTGCCGTTGCTGTTTCGTCCTGCTGCGGTTTTAAACGCATTGTTTCCATGAAGCTGCTTATTTAATCCGCGCAGCTCAGGAACTGGTCTCTGTCTGCGCGTGCGTGCACCAGGTGTGAGTCATGTGTGCGCGCGTGCATGCATTCATTGCTGGGCAGTGGGTCCAGTGTGTTTACAGAGACTTTACTGTGAGAGAGACATCAGCTCCGGGTTTACTACCTCTGCTTCCTGCAGGAAACCTCGCTGCTGCTCATCCTCTGGTCAGGAAGTGAAGATTTCTGGGGCAAAAAATATCATCCTTATTATATTTGAATTTTTGAACTGAATAAAACTGTAGAGCATCTGAGTGTAATTAACAAACTTCAGCACCTGTGGGCTACCTCCATAAACATTTTATTTCCACAGGACTTTTCATACAGATCAGTGCTATAGAAAGTATTCTGTAGAGACTGAAAAAATACAGGAAATAATCAAACTTTGTAAAAAAAATAGAACAATTTTACAAGATGAGGAAACGACAGATATGAATGTAAAAATAAAAAAAACACATCAAACAAAAGAAACTCAAAGACCAAAATATTTGTAATAAAATCTAAAATAAGAGCAAACATAGGTCAAATGATTAACAAACTGTAATAAAACAAAGGTCAAATAAAAATTAACTTCAACTAAAAGCCAAATTGAAAAGAAGTATTTCAAGTTTGCTTTAAAAATATCAACACTGTTCCTCAGCAGAGGGCCTTAAAGAGAATGGAATCCTGAAATTACACTTAATTAATTTAACATAGTATTTTGTAAAGACTTTATCACTGTGTTCCTATCTGTTCTGGTTCTGGTCCTTTTGGACTAGTGGGCTAATGAAATATGACAGATTGTGATTGCTGATCGAATTAAAATAAGCCTCATGGGCTTCTGCAGATAGATGTTTCTGGAGATATCAAACCATCTTAACTTACAGAAGATTTTGACCAGATGATCAAAAATGACTTGAAACCATCTGATATGAAACGGGTACAAACGTCTCCCCAGTGGTACCAGTTAATACTTGGTTGGTACTGTCCCGTAGGAGACAGATTCCTTGTATACTCAAAGTCCAGTATGAAAGCATCAAAACTACAACAGGACAAAACAGTGACCCGCACCAGAATAATGAGCAGCGAACCCACATTTATTGACAACAGAAGTTGGTTCTTTCTTCTCAGATTGATAAAACAACAATCTAATGTTTATATGTGTAAAAAAAATAAAGATTAAGTTTGTGGACTCTGCGGATCGGACGGTGTGAGAGCAGAGCGGTCCGTTGACTTTGCGGGTCGGACGGTGTGAGAGCAGAGCGGTCCGCTGACTTTGCGGGTCGGACGGTGTGAGAGCAGAGCGGTCCGTTGACTCTGCGGGTCGGACGGTGTGAGAGCAGAGCGGTCCGTGGACTCTGCGGGTCGGACGGTGTGAGAGCAGAGCGGTCCGTTGACTCTGCGGGACGGACGGTGTGAGAGCAGAGCGGTCCGTTGACTCTGCGGGTCGGACGGTGTTAGAGCAGAGCGGTCCGTTGACTTTGCGGGTCGGACGGTGTGAGAGCAGAGCGGTCCGTGGACTCTGCGGGTCGGACGGTGTGAGAGCAGAGCGGTCCGTGCACTCTGCGGTTTCGGACGGTGTGAGAGCAGGACGGTCTGCTGACTCTTTTGGGTTCTGTGCTGCTGTGGTTTAGTGAAGGAATGTTTGTCAGCCCCACCACAGCACAGCGTCACTGTTTGTTTTTCAGTGTCCTACTGCTGACTGATCGTCTGCCACGCCTTAAATGAAGAAACATCCAGAAACCTGGGATGGTTCCTGTTGGATCAGACGAAGTGATCTGTGTTAGCTCGGGTTAGAAGACCTCCAGTTGTGTTCCTGTAAGATACCAGCTCAGTATCTGAGGTGTTTAACAGTGACGTGACCTGCTGTGGATGGTTGCAGTTACTGATGGAGTAATGTTTCATTAGGAAATATCTCTGACAGAATTGCCACGATAGGAATGCAACAATGGTCACTTTCATTGTGACACTGGGAGCTAAAGTCGTCTGAGCATAAAGCTCTCATTCCTGTTTACATCCATGGAAAACATGACACCCCGAGGCAGCCTGGGTGCTTTTTTAACAACACTGAAGAATTTAGGTCATACAAATAATCAATAAAAACTGAAGACAAGATATATTAAGATGTTAAAAAAACAGTTTTCACAGAAAATGACTGAAATCCCACATAGGTTATCACATCAGGCCCACATGATAAGAACATCATTACTCAGCATGATGAAGGAGGTTTGCTCCATTTAATCCTCAGACATTTAGTTTGGTGCTCCTGACTGTGAAGACCATGGTGAGATCCAAAGATCTCCTCAGGAAGAAGATTGGAGCAGCTCATGACTCTGGTCATGGATTTAAAGAGTTCTCAGAATGATCTGAAATTATCCGTTCTTCTGTTTGAAAAGAAGTTGAGAAGTGGAGGACATTCTGAACATCTGGCAACATGCCTACATCACCGGTCAAAAGGTTTAGACACACTTTCTAATTTAATTGTTTTCTTTTTGTTTATGACTATTTACATTGTAGATTCTTACTGAAAGCATTAAAACTGTGAATGAACACATATGGAATTATGTAGCAAACGAAAGATTGTAAAAGAACTTTAAATGTGTTTTTATATTTCAGATTCCTTAAAGTAGCCGCCCTTTGCTGTGATGACTGTAATATTAACCTTTGGCCGTCTCTCAATGAACTTTTGGGAAGTTCTTTCAAGACTCTTTGGAAAACTATTTCAGGTGACCAACTCATGAAGCTCCTGGAGAGAACGCCAAGCAGCAATCAAAGCAAAGGGTGACAATTTGGAAGAGTCTAAAATATTAAAATGTTTAAAGTTATTTCACACTTTTTGGTT